TGACCAGGTGGCAGCATTGATGGACTCAAGTGTGGCAGTGGTAGTGAGGTTGGCCCAGGATCGGACATTGTTTCGTTCTGCTGTGCATGGGGTCTCTATGAGTCGGTTCCGACTCGATGGCACCTGACAACAACAACAACAAGGAGTAGATGGTGGGTTTGAAACACTCACCTTGCAATTAGAAGTCCAGTGCTAATCCTACAGTGCCACTCAAGGACTCCACTCAATTGATCATCAGTGTAAAATTATAGGGAAGAAATAAGAACATAAAAAAAATGAAATTAAGGAAAAAAATTAGTAAGAGAGAGTAAGAACCAAATAGAGTTAATGTTACAACAATTTGTACTCATGAAAGTAGCATTTTGTAGCTTATTATAGTGTAATTGTAAGTTTTTAAATCACTTGTTTATGTGTCTGCGTTTATTTGTTAATATCTTTTCCATTTTCAAAGCTTAATTGAAAAATAATACTAATTCATAAGCATTGTGAAGATTATAATGAATTAATTGCAATCAATATTCTAAGTTTGCAGAAATGTCATTTATAAAATTCATCCTTAGAATGTATAAATTATATTAGTAATATTGTACATGGAGAAGTAATAAAGAATGTAAATGAATAAATTAGACATTAGATTTTTAAAAGTTATTGATAGAAGTTGACAAATATTACCACAATATTGTAGCTAAAATAGAAAATTTGACAAAATCAGCCACTATAAATCACTGATAGTACGAAAACAAGAGTGTGTGCTCTTAGTGTGTGCAGACAAAATGACCTACTTTGAAGTATCATTGTGATTGGATAATAATGACAGCTCTGACCAGAGTTCATTGTTGTTGTTGTTGTTGTTATTTTGCTGTGGAATCGTTCTGACTCATAGCGACCCTGTACAGGGTTTCTGAGGCTGTAAATCTTTACAGGAGCAGAATGCCTCATCTTTCTCCTGTAGAACGCGGGTGGTTTTAAACTGCTGACCCTGAGGGTAAATTAACATAGAGTTTCAGTCTTGTAAGCATATTGATGCATGTAAGCTGGGCTTATGAAAAATGTTTTTGTGATAATTAACTGCAGGGATATTTTTATAAAAAATAACACCTTTGTGCTGGAATACTGCACTAAAATCTTATGTTATCACCTCCTCTGATGGTGTCACCTGGTGCAGTCTGAATTCCCTTTACCTCCTTTATGATGTCACTGACATGGCCACATTGCCCCATTTCCTTGACTATAACATGAGCCTATGGGACACTCAGCACATGGGCCCACAACTAGAGTTCAAAGTTCTCCAAGTAGATCTTCTAGATCAAAAGGTACTAGACATTTGTAAAGTATTGACATTCCTAGTCAGAAGGCACACCAGAAACCTGTGACTATTTCAGAGACCCTTTAAATTGTGACAGGATGTCCGTTTCCTCATGACCTTGTCAAAACAGGGTATGAAGAACTGTCTCTAAATGTTAAAATCTACTAGAGTATAAATAATGTCTCATGATTGCTGTAGTCTATATTTCTTTGAAAATAGAGAAGTGGCTTTAATTATCAACTCATTTTCAGTCCTAAGACTTTGTTCAATGTTATGAATGAAATTAGTTGAGCAAAGGGCATCCATAGCATCCATAAAGACATTTACAAATTTTCACTCAGAAGGTTTTTTCCTTTCCTCACCCTCCCATGAATGCTATGAAAATGCCTACTTTTTTTTTTTTTTAAATAATTTTATTGTGCATTGATTGGCCAGGTAGCTGTCTTCACGATTTCTTGGCATAGATAAATGAGCATCTCCTTGTGTGCCTCAGTTTGTTGAAAAACTTCAACGTGTATTCCACCAAATCCTGGAGCCTTGTTTTTCTTTGCCACTACCCTAAGTGCAGCTTGGACTTCTTGCTTCATTACCATCAATTCTTGACCATATGCTTCCTCCTAAAATGGTTGAGCATTGACCAATTATTTTTAGTACAGGGAATGTGCAATCCTTGCATTCTATTTTGGTGCTTCCTTCGACTTCAGTTATTTTGCTGGTGCTGGCTGACTGTGTGCTGTCGAGTCGGTTCCGACTCATCTTTTTACTGTGGATGCCTAGTGGACTCGGACTGCTAATCGTGGGGTTAACCGCCAATCGCATAACCCACCATGTCATCAGGGTTCCTTATTTTGCACATGGTGGTGGGTGGTGATAGTGTGCCCTCGAGTTCTCATAGCGACCCTATTTAGGATTTCTGAGGCTGTAAAGCTTTATGGGAACAGAAAGTCACATCTTTCGTGGAGCGGCTGGTACATTCGAACTACTAAACTTGCATATGGAGTCCGGGTTTGGCACCATAGGATAAGCACCGTACTGCTATCCACAAGGTTGGTAGTTCAAACCCACGAGTCAATCCTTGGAAACTCTGTACAGGATCGCTATGAGTCGGAACCGACTTGAAGGCACTTAACAACAACAACAAACTTGAAAATAGCAGCCCAATTAGTAACCTATTTCGCTACCAGGGCTCCCTTCAATATTGCAACCACAGGCTTCAATTTGCAGAGCAAAATAAATTCATCTCAAAAGAGCAAATAATCGTCATCCATTAGAATTTGGACCGTCTAGTCTCTAAAGCTCCAGTCCGCATATTCAAATTCTTTCCCATGATTTTTCCCCGGTTCCCGCCCGATTTGCTTCAGTGAAATTGTTTTTGTTAAGTGCCGGCAAGTCGGTTCCGACCCATAGCGACCCTATATAAGGTTTCCCAGGAGAGACAGGAGAGCTTGAACTACAGTTCAAATGGTTTGCAGTCTGGCTTATTAACCCACAGGGCAGCACGAGATCCCGCCTCTATTACGTCATTTGGGCACGCCCCTCTCCAATGGCGCCTGCATATTAAAAACAAAAAGAACTTTGGGCGGAGTCTGTGAAAGAATTACATCTTGGCCCCGCCCTCCAAAACAATCGCGTGGCCACGCCCACCTTGATTCCCACGCCTCCCTGTAAACCTACTTCCGGTGACGTCAGTGCACAGCCCCACAGAGCAACAGAGCGGGGAAGCTAACTAAGCGCAATGGAGGATCGGGTGAAATTGATGAAGGCCCTCCTGTCCAGGCACCGGTGGCCCCAGGCGCGTCGGTGGAGGAACCCGATTCCCTTTCCCGAGACATTTGATGGCGACACCGACCGGCTCCCGGAGTTCATCGTGCAGACGGGCTCCTACATGTTCGTGGACGAGACCGTGTTCTCCAATGATGCCCTGAAGGTGACGTTCCTCATCACTCGTCTCACGGGACCGGCCCTGCAGTGGGTGATCCCCTACATCAAAAAGGAGAGCCCCCTCCTCAATGATTACCGGGGCTTCCTGGCTGAGATGAAGCGTGTCTTTGGTTGGGAGGAGGATGAAGATTTCTAGGCCAGAATATCCTGGGGTCTGAGCGGTGCGTCTGGAGAGGGTCCCTGCACTCCTCCACCTCTGCAGTCACCATCTCTGCAGTCACATGCGCTATCCGCTACCCTACCCCCACCCCGCTGCCTCACTCTCCTGACTCTTACCCCTCCCGCATAGTGCTTGCCTTTGTTCCAGAAATAGCTCTTCAGGTCCCTGCTGCTGCTGAGCTGCTGCACCTGCCCCCAGAGTGCTCAGCCACTCTCAAGGACCATCCCAGCTTTTCCTGTGAGTATCTGGACTTGGTCCTGCACTCCAGCTGCAAACTGGGTCCTGTCACACACTGGACAGATCATCCACAGCCGGCCACTGCCCGACCACCAGGCCTGCAACCACCTGCCAGAGACCAGCTTTATCATCACATCCTCTGCATCCCACCCACACACTGCCGCCCTTGGCCTTCAGGATTCACCGATGAGGGACCTGGACTGGCCTTGGCCTCTGGACAATGACTCAGACAGCTCACCACCCCCCTCTTCAGTAGGCTCGACCCCCTCTCCACCCTCAACACACCCGTTCTGCCCCTGCCGGATGACCAGGTGTGCCTGCAGCCAAATCCAGTCACTTCTTTTCTCTGTGGACCAGTTAGTTCTCCCCAGAATCCAGTTCTCTTTTGTATTTGCAGCTGTCTCTCAGATGTGTGTGTGTGTGTGTGCCTTTCCTTCAAAAAGCTGACCCCTGCTCTCTGCCCAGCTCCTCAACACTACCTAGACAAAAGTCTTTTCTTTTCTTTTTTTTAATTAATTTTCAATAAATGCCAGACACTAACTAAAAAGAATTGTTGAGTCTCTGTGAATCTGATGTCTCTCCATCCCTGTCTGTAAAGGGGGTGGGTCCATGTGTTATTCAGAAACTCTTTTCACCCAGACATTCTGAGACTGATGCTTTATAGAACAGTAATTGTCAGGTCCTGTGGTGCGCTGGGGATGGAGAGGCCACTCGTGACCATTCTCTCCCTGAGGAGGAATCTCCTCAGCCCATCAGAGTCACCCTAGGACATGGATTGTGAGCTGCTCTGTCTGACACCATGTGCAGATATGTCAGCTGCCAGGCTTTTTGGAAAGAGTTTCTCATTTCCAAAAAAAGCATCTTGAAGCACTACTTCAAAATTAAGAAAGACTGCATTCTTACACAGATTGTTCCAGGATTTGTGTAACCTGTTTTTTAAAACAGCAAATCCATTTCTAGAATCTCAAATATTTAGATTATATGTGTGGAGGGATGTATAATTATCATCACTGATTTAGGTAAAACTTGGTGACAATAAAGCTATAAACTTCCCAATGTCCAGAAAACATCATCATTCCTTGTCATTTCTTTGCAGTCCAGCCTCTTAGATCTCTGGTGGTGCCTGTGTGTCACTGAGTCGGTTCTGACTCATAGTGACCCTGCATAGGGTTTCTGAGGCAGTAAATCTTTATGGAATCAGAAAGCCTCATCTTTCTGCCGTGGAGAGACTGGTAGATTGGAACTGTGACCTTTCAGTTCTGGGCTACCAGGGCCGCTGTTCCCTTACCAATTGTTTAAACAGAGTTAAATATTCCTACTGATGCAACCTTCCTACAGGTAAGCTTATAGCACAGCACTGTTGTGATTTTTAAAGGTCACACAAGTCTTTGATCTTTCCAAGACCTGAGAAAGATGAATGAATCACACCAGGGTTTGTTTGTTTGTTTGTTTGTTTGTTTATTTGTTTCACTTCAATCTCTCTGCTTATTTGAACAGGTAAAATTTTGCCCCCTCATGTGATTTAGTTTGCTGGACATGGAGCTTGGGTTGATCTAGCTATTTTAGCCAAGATTAGCTGTGAATGAGGACAATATAGAAATCTACCAATTGGGTAACAGATTTCACTTAACTACATTTAGGGCTAAGGTCCTGAAAGGTCAGGTTCTGACTACCCAGCATCCCCCAGGAAAAAACCTGCTTGCTAATACTGACCCAGAGTAACCTGACCCATCTAACAGGGCCTTCCATTTTGTTTAATGAGAAATCACTTAAATTAAAAAAAAAAAAAAATTACCATTATTTCAGAGTCTTGGTGTGATACTATAAGATAAGCACTGGGCTGCAAAGTGGGTTTGAACCACAAGATTGGCAGTTCAAACTCAACAGCTGCTCCTCAGAAACTCTATACAGGGTTGCTAAGAGTTGGTGCAAACTCAATAGCACTTAAAAACAAAAACGAATTTTCAGTCAAAATTTATACTTAGCACATACCATACTTGAAAGAAGCTAGAAGATGAGATGTCCTTCCAGCAGAGTCTGGGTCGTGCAAACAGTGAATGCACTCAGCTGCTAACCAAAGGGTGGAGGTTGGAGTCAATTCAGAGGTACCTTGGAAGAAAAGCCTGGGAATCTATTTCCAATAAATCAGCCATTGAACACTCTATGGAGCACAGTTCTACCCTGACATATATGAGATAACAAGGAGTGGGAATCTTCTCAGCAACAACTGCTTTCTTTTTTAAAATCACCTTCCCAATTTTTTTAAATCCTATATTTCTCTTAAAGATAATGGATGTATAAAAATTCATTTCACATTCAATACTAGAAAGTTGATTGATAAATTTTGATACCGTAGATTAAGCATCATCCCCTATTGAGAAATTTTAAAGTGAAACAAACCTACAAGACTGAAAATGGGAACCAGATGTATCAATGTATAATGAAGTCAACTACAAAGAAAAAGGAAGGAATAGTATAGATAGTGTTGCTGTTGTTAGGTGCCATCGAGTTAGTACTGACTCATAGCGACCTTATGCACAGCAGAATGGAACACTGCCCAATCCTGGGCCAACCTCACTATTGTTGCCACTTAGACAATCCATCTCGTTGGGGGTCTTCCTCTTTTTCTCTGACCCTCCATCTTACCAAACATGATATCCTTCTCTAGTAACTGGTCCCTCCTGACAATATGTCCAAAGTATGAGAGATGAAGTTTGGCCATCCTGGCCTCCAAGAAGCACTCTGGCTGCACTTCTTCCAAAATGGATCTATTGGTTCTTTTGGCAGCCCATGGCACTTTCAATATTCTCCTCCAACACCATAACTCAAAAGCATCAATTCTTCTATGGTCTTCCTTATTCACTGTCCAGCTTTTGCATGCATATGAGGTTATTGAAAATACCATGGCTTGCATCAGGCTGATCTAGCTGACACCAGTGTGCGGATAAATCAGGTGCAAGACTTTTAAGAAAAGGTTTTCTCATTTCCAAAAAGCACAACTTCCACATTAGCACAAACCATCACACAAAGATCATGAGTGAACAGCTTTCAGAATTTCATCTCCCTCCTTATTTGGCTAACCAGAAGAATGAGAGAGGCAGCTTTATAAAAATGTGTTTGCATTTCTTGACTCACAAATATTTAATTTGTATGTATATGTGTAGAATGCATAACTGTGATCATTAATTTTGGTAAAACTTGGCTGATGACCTGTAGGGATGAATCTCCTCTGCCCACCAGGATGATCCCATTCACTCTAGAATATGAGCTGATCTGGCCATGGCCATGTGAGGAGTAGTCAGCAGCAAGATGTTTTGGAAAGGGTTTCCTTATTTCCAAAAAGTACCCTGAGAACACAACTCCCAAATTATCACAAAACATCTTACACAGATTGTGAGCGAACATCTGTCCAGATTTTCTATAACACACTATTAAGGGAACCAGCACAATGAAACAGGTCTTTTTTTTTTTTTTTTTTTTTGGTAACTACATTTACATTTAAGGGTCTCTGGTAGCTTAGTGGTTACGAGTTGGGCTGCTAACCTCAAGGTTAGCAGTTTGAAACTACCAGCCGTGAACTCAATAACACTTAATTAGAATAAAATACACATCTTATGTCCTGTTTAGGTCGATAGCATTCGACTCATTTTTTAGGATAATTAGTATATATTATACAAAAGAGTTGCTCTAAATGTGATATTCCTGATTTTTGTAACAGAAGCCCAGCATTCGGTATTAAGGATACAATTATATACAATGGGCATTGAGGCAAGAGAGAACAATTTGTGTGTTCAGAAGTAGAGGCCCATTATGTCACTAGGTACACCATGGGCTCTGAAATTCTAGCTAAGTTGTTCCCTTTGATCCTGTCATTGTTGTTGTTGTTAAGTGCCACCGAGTCGGTTCCAACCCTGTATAGGGCTTCCAATGAGCAACTGGTGAGCTTGAACCACTGACCTTACAGTTCAAATGGCTTTGAAGTCTGACACCACACCAGGACTCCAAGATATATATACTATAACAACACAGCAAATTATTACACCTATATGGTAATTCCAAAGATTTTTTGGAGTTTTCAGTACAATAGTGGAAAGACCATTTTACGTTTGGGAAAATAATTCTGTTTGGGTAAAGTTAATGTAATTTAATCTATTTCCAAATGAAATAAATCAACTCAACAAAGGGAGCGCGGTGACTGTGTAGGACAAGTGCTGGACTGTGAAATACAAGGTTGGCAGTTGGACCCCACCAAATGCTTCACAGGAGCAAAATAAGGCTTTCTGCTCTTGCAAAGATTTACAGCCTCAAAAACCCTATACAGAGTAAGTATTGCCGAGTCTGCTTTTCTGCATGTCCAACGCAGAGAAATTAATCCTGAGAGGAGCTCTGGTAGCGTAGTGGTTACGAATCGGACTGCCAATCTCAAGGTCAGCAGTTCGAAACCACCAGCGGTTCCTTGGGTGAAAGATGAAGCATTCAGCTAGCGTAAAGATTTACAGCCTCGGAAACCCTGTGCAGGGTCCCTATGAGTCAGAACTCCACAGTACTTAACAACAACAACAGGGGCAATGGGAGATTAGAAGGAAAAGGAAGACACAAGACACATACAAGTTAAGTGAAAGTTGGGACCAGGATACTGCCAACCCAGAACTGGTACAGCAGATTTATTTTATACCCATCTCAAGCGCAGGTGCTTGGGGCAGGTTAAAGAGCACATGCAACACCTGGCGTTGTTTGTA